ATTGCAATAAATAACTACATTGAATAACCTCATTCAATATATGTGTATCTAGTCACGGAACTACCACACGTAGATCGGACAATATCCTGATACATTATACAACTCAAGACTAAAAGCATAACTGACATCAATGTGGCATGGACAATCTCCATGCTCACCAAATAAGGCAACATCGCCAATAATGTCTCAAATCAAATAACAATATACTGATATCAAGACATAACAGAAATCCAGGCATATCAATAAAACAACATGCATAATCAGCTAAGCTTTGGCATCCTGCCACCAGAGGTCTCAATCACAGAGGTACCTATAATAACCCTAATTGCATGACTTTTAAATTAGAGGGTTATGATGAGGATCTTATGGTCATAAATAGAATGAGAATTAAATTCTAAGAATTTGGATACCCATATTGATGGTATTCCAGTCAGGTCAATTTTTATCTATTGTTTTTGACTGCTGACGCAGTAATAGACTATAGAATAGCTCAAGTACAGTGAATTTAAGTTAGAGATCTATCCTTACGATATGAATATGATAAATGATGTAAGCATAAGATGTGATGAAGTTTGATACTCATATTGGGGGTATTCTGAGCAGTTGAGTTTTCGGCTGTTGTTTTTGACTGCTGACTCAGTAACAGTCTGTCGAGTAGCTCCAATCTAGCAAATCTGAGTTAGAGAGCAAATCTAATGATATAAACATCATGAATGAGGTTAGTATATGAAAAGGTGAAGATTGATACCCATATTGGGGTATTTTTGAAAAGTCACTTCTGCAGGGTATTTTGTACTGCTGTAGCAGCAACCGATAGAATCCCAGAACGGGGAAAAGATGAGAAAATAGAAATAAAGACCAATATATGCCTAACAAGTCATAATTAGACCAAAAATGTTAAATTTAAGAAGATTATGAAATTCAGGTACAGTTAAGAACACTAGTAAAGACTATAGTGCAATTAAATAACTGTTAGTGGATCTGTGATCTACTAATCAAATTTTTAAGTTAAGAACATGATAATTAGACAAAATTAATGTTAAGTACTTAAAGTTAGAGTCTTGGGGGTTTCTAGAAAATTTTTTGACGACGGTTCAGATAAAAATTACACCGGGTCTCACTAAAGGACAAAGTGCCACTAAAGTGACATGGCACCAATAATTAGGGCACCCTTCCCCTTCCCCCTCATTTTGAATCAGCAGCCCCCTTCTCACTTCTCTCTCTAAAATTCAAACTTCAAATTTTTCTCTCTCTTCTCTCTAAGATTCCATCACCTAAATCTCTCCAAAACACAAAACCTCCTTCATCAAAGTTGTTCCTCTCACTCTCCTCTTCACAACCATACCATTTTTATGGTGTGGAGCCAAATTTCGTGCCCCTTATCATCCCAAACAGCCATGGATTTGTGAAGAGTTAAGGCTTTGGAGTTGTGTTCTTAAGCCCTCTTGAAGAACCACACTTGCTTGCTTGTTTCCCTTGACTTTTGGGTAAATGTTCTTGAATGTTTCATGAACAATCTCATCTTTTCCTCTTGTGTTCTTGAACTCTAACTCATGAGCATGTCCATGAAAGTTTGTTCTTGCTTAAAGGAGGGTTCTTGGTGGAAAAAGGTGGAGACTTGAGCTAAAAGAGGAACTTTGAAGATGTAAGCTCCCATTTGGGAAATATGAACCAAAAAGCTTCCTTTTTTCTTGTTGAGTGCCTCGGTTTTGATATGTTCATGAGGAGAAAGTTGTTTAATTTTTTTTAAAGTAATGGTTTGATGAATATCTTTAAGGGTGTGTGTTTTGAACCATGGAATCATGGATTTGATGAGTAAAGGTGTCACCTTTGGACCTTTGTGTGTTGTGGGAAAAGATGAACATGAACATGAACCCTATATGGACCCTTGATGATTTTGGCTATGTCAAGTAATAATAAGGTTTCATGACAAAAAAATGTGATTAAGCTGTTAAGTTTGGAAAAATGATTAGAAAGATTAACTAGGTGAGTTAACTCTAAGTAAAACTCACTAATCATGATTAATAATGGCTAAAAACCCTAATTAAAATAGCTCAACAAATTTGTCCCATAAATTATATAAGGGTTTAGTTGTGTTAAAATTAAGGAGATGATGAATTAAGGGTAGGGATTAATTAACAAAAGTAATTAAGGATTTAACTCTAAAATTGGACTAAAGTAGGGTTTAGGTACACTAATTAAGTAATTAGTAAAATTTAAGTATCATGACATAATGGGACTAAGGATATTTCATAATGTGACTTAATAATAGAAAAATCCAAGAATTAAGTAAATTAGGATTTATAATCAAAAATAATTAAGGTTTGTTAAGTAAACACATTTAGGGCTATATAATCAGTTTTTAGGAAATATTGGGAAGAGCATATCTCCCTCCACAGAGGTCATATAGGGCTTTTCCATACATCATTTTGAAGCTTGAGATGTCAGATATGTGGTGTCAAAATTTGGTACCATTTGAAGATGTGTAGCATTCTGTAGGTCCGATTGAGTGGAGACTGCCCAGGGAAGCCATGTGCAGGGGCTGTACGTGGCTGCACCTTCCACGAATTGTTTCTCCCTCTGTTCTTACTCAAATTAGGCTCATAATATGTCGAATTAAATCTGAAGGTGTTTTGTTGTTTGCATAAAAATTTGAGAACAATTGGTTTAGTATATTTTCCAGAATCGCAGAAATGGTAAAGGATGTTTAGGGCTCTGTTCGGAGTTGGCAAACAGCTCTATTTGTCCAACTTCAAATGGTGATAACCGGAACTAGGAAACTCCAAATGTGGCATGTGATACCTTGTTGGAAATTTAATTGAGTGTAGATTAACATACTAAAATATGAGAATTTATAACAAGTGAGTCGCGCTCAGTAAATAGAAAACAGAAGCATGTACAGTTGTGGGAAAACCGTAAAAGTGATATTTAAGCTAAATGGGCTTATGGGAACCCTTAATAAATTATAATAATCACAAATATGTCTTGGATGAGTTGAAAATAATCTACTTTACCTAAGTGAGCCTTGCATGTGATTCTAAGCTATGTAAGTAATTGAAGATTAAAGTGGCTTGTAATAATGCACTAAAATATGTAATAAGTAATATTTGGTTTAGACTTGTAATGGGCATATTATTGGCATATGAGTATAAAAAGTGGAATCATTTAATGATTAAGTCGTGGATATGACTTGATTAATGAATATGTAATTAATGATGTGAATGGTTCCTACTCTAGGTGTGCCTAGAGAACCGTGCACATAAGGACTTTGTTGGAGCATACATATTATATTGGAGTGTAGGCCTGTGCTAAGCTCCCAAAGGTAAGCTCCTAGTTCTAGTTTCTCCTCTATCTTGTGGCCCCACCATGATGGAGGGCATTTTGGTTATATTGTATGAAAGTATATGGTATGATGTATGGGAAAAATGTTTCTGCAGTTAATGCAGAAAAATTATCTGCATTTATTTCCAAAACGACGTCGTTTTGGTATTGAAATCTTAAAAAATTATAAATATAAAGACTATTATAACCCTGAAATAAATTACAATTACAAATACACCATGATTTCCACCCTAAAATGACGTCGTATTGGGCTTACTGCAGATAACTTATCAGCAGTAACTGCAGAAAAAGCGAACCCATGATGTATATGTGCATTCATTCACATTCGTATAGATGTTATATGATCTTGATGTTATGATGATGCACTGATGATATATGTTGTGAGGATTCTGGTCAGTGATCATGGTATGTAGGCTACCTATGACTTGACTCTGGGAGCTATTTCATACTGAGGTTGGGTTGACTGTCTATGGCTTGACCCTGGAAGGCACACATGTGTAACCGTCTATGGCTTTGACCCTGGGGTTACACAAGGATGATATGATGATGCTATGTTTTTGCTGTATGTTTGTATTATATGCTTTAATCTGACTTGTCATGAAGGAAGTGGGCTCAGAGGATTAAAGGATCCTCTATGAACCTTGAGCTTACTGAGATGTTGTTATCTCACCCTGTTTGGGGACATCATTTCAGGTACCTATAGTAGTGGTGAAGCTTCTAGGGGCAAGGCCCCCGCATTGGAGTAGTTTGATGATGCAGCTGATGATTTTATATTATGTTTTTATTTGATGTTGGCATGTAAACTTGTTAACATGCTGAATTATTTTATAAAGATTATTGTATGTATTTATTTAGGCTCATGATTGTATCCTTAGAGCCATGGATTATTTACAAATGCTTTTATACTTTGAATTAAGATAGACTTGATGCATGTATTCAGTTAATTTCGGCATGGAGCCTTATTGTTGTATTGACCTATTGAGGGGATTCCAGTCCGTGTGGGACTTGCAAGCTATCTGTTTAAATTATTGTATCAATCAGGTTAACTGTAAGTGTGGGACCAGGTTCTCAGTTATCCGAAATACAGTCGTTATGCTGTCCGTAAGACTCCATCAGGATTGACACTTGATGTCATATCTTGATGGTCAATGGCCACTAATACTGGCTCATGGGATTAATTAGTAGATGTATGTTTATATTTACGCTTTCGCAGTATCTCACGTGAACGTTTTTAGAAATGTTTTCATAAAATGTTTTAGAAAAAGTTTACTCGTATTTTTATAAGACACTTTATTCCTTTTCAAATAAAGTCTTCCGCTGTGAATGTTAAATATCATGTATGTTAACAACCGGAGTGCGGGGTGTTACATTTATGGTATCAGAGCAGTTTCACCGGGACGTTAACTGATTTATTGCTTAAGTGTTAACTACCTATAGAGTGTTTCTTTGGGTGCTTTGATAATGCATATGTCATCACTTATTTCGGGTGTAGTTGTGTGCAATTATCATGGCTCCTCAAAGGAAGACCTGTTAGGTAGTTGAGGATCCAACACCGGATCCCGTAGCAGCTGCTCTAGTAGCTCTTCAGTAGTCCTTGAAGACTGCCAGGGAAGCTGACCTACAGAGGTTGGCTGAGGCCAAAGAGAGACATAGAGCACATGAGGAAGACCAGTGAGGATCTCATGGCTCGAAACAGATTGACGAACGTGGAGATGATGAGACTATTATTGGCTGAGGTTCGAGCAGGACCTCCATCACCTCCACTACCTCCACCACCACCACCACAGCAGGACATACAGGAGTATTATAGGACACGCGGTAAGGATACTGCAGGCAAGAGTCTCCATAGGTAGAGTACTCCCTGGAACGGAAAGAGCAAGGGCTTACAGGAGAAGAAAGCGGAAACAAGTCTGAAAGAAATGGGAACTTTAAGAAGGAAAATTGAAGAGTTTGAAATGGGAAGACTCCTACTTGTGCTATGTGTGGGAGGTATCATTATGGTGTTTGCTGGATTGGGCGAATGTATGCTACAGTTGTGGTCAAGCAGGACATTCTTCTAACGAGTGCCCCGGGAAAAGGGGGCAGGTTGCGGCTATTCAGGCTATTCCTATTTAGGCTATTTCGACTCCCATTACTATTAAGGAGCATTTAGTACCTTTAGTTACACAAGTTTATGCAGTTACCCAGCAGGACATAGAGAAGTCTCCAAATTTGATCAAAGGTACAATTTCCGTTGATGGCCATGATTTTGATGCATTGTTTGACTCAGGAGCAACCCACTCCTTTACTTCGAGTTTTGTTGCGAATGGTTTGAACTTGCCTATGTATGAATTTACGTCTCCTATGGTAGCGAAGACTGCCACCGGAGATTTGGTTTCCACCTCTTTGATGTGTAAAGAAGTCAAGTTCAGTTATGAAGAGAAGGAATATGTGGTTGATCTGATTGTGCTTGAGGGTATGAATCTGCACATCATTCTAAGCATGGATTGGCTAGTCAGACATGGAGTTATGATTGATTTTTGTAGCAGGAAGAATTATTTCTCTACGAAGCATGAGAAGAAGGACTTCCCCTATTTATTAGTGTTGTAGATGATTAAGGCTCTAAATGCGGGAGATGCAGGATATATCATGTTAGGAGGATTGGTTGGTGTCTCTAAGGAGCCAACTTCTAGTATCCCAATTTTATTTGACTTTGAGGATGTATTTCTAGAAGAGATCTCACAGTTTCCACCAGAAAAAGAGATTGAATTCTCCATTGACCTAGTGCCTGGTCTGGGGCCTATCTTTTTGGCTCCATACCGGATGTCACTTGTAAGAACCCGCACCGTTAATTTTGGAAATTAATTAAATAAATATGAGAATTAGGGAATAATTTCATAATTGACCCTAATAATTATGAGAAGGCTTAAATAATTATGGTAAGTGATTAAGAGTGCTGAAAGTCGCTTTTCTGACGAAAAGTGCAGATACTGGTTATGCCTCACGGTATAAATGCGTACCGATGAAGTATCCCGAAAAATTATGAAAAGTATGTATATGTCACTAGAAAAATATGTAGGACCGACATAACATGTTTCAAGTCAAAATAATGAGAACTAGTGCCAGAACTGATACTGGCTATGTAAAAGCGCGTACCGGAAATGTGCTGCAAAATATAAAATAAAAATATGACAAACCTTAGAAAAATGAGTAGGTTCAGAATCCTAAGTTTGGGATTAAAATGCTAAGCGTAGCTATTAGCGCTAATACAGTGCGATTAAGACTTAAGTGACCTATATAAGGCCTTGGCACATGATCCTAGGTCAGCCTCCGTCTACTCTATCTGAGTTTTTCTGAGTGTTGTGACCAGCCACCTTCCTCCATTCTTTTTCCCTTCATTGGAGCTTCTTGGGAGCACATTTCCTCTTGCTTTCTTCTCAAAGATTCCTTGGGAGTTGTGTTCTAGCCTTGTGGAGTTGAAAGGTTAGCCTTTTTCTGAGTTAGAGGTTCTGTCTTGAGTCTTTAAGAGTTGGTTTCACTATTTATGGGGAAGGAGCCCTTTTTCCTTGCTTGTGTGGCTTCAAGAAGCCACCTTTGGAAAGAAAGGACCTTGCTTGTGCGCCATTTTCGTGTCCTTGTGTGTGCTGAACTTTGAGGCTGGTGTGGACCCATGATTAGTTAATGTGGACTTCTGTAATAAATAACCTAAGTCAGAATCTAAGTGATTAAGGGCTTATGGCTTTGCGAGAAGCCTAAAGACATGAAACGTAAAGGTAAGGAGTTGTCTTTATGTCTTTTTCTTGTAGAGCATGTATATTGATATTATTATTGGTCCAAACAGATTGTGATTATGCTGTGTGTGGACTTTGAGCTTGGTTTGACTCTTGGCTTGGATTGTTAGCTTGCAAGGTAAGCTTTCGTGTCCTCAGTTTAGCCATTGTTGGTTCCACCATATCCCATGGGGGATGTTTATATGCATGATGTGTTTTCATGTATTGTTTTATTGAAATGTTATTGAGCTGTTAAGTGCAAATGCCTTATGATATGTATGTGGTGTTTGTCTAGACGGGATGTGATCCTGTGGACAGGTACGACATGGGCGCGTACTATATGGGTAATAAACGTATTCCTGCATTTCTCTGACCAGTAGATTAGTTATAACACACATGACATGATTATCTGCTGCATTGCACTGGTTTTGGAACTTATACTGTTAAACTACTTTTGGAACTTATATTGTACATGTAAGTGAGCTTGGGGTGGAAGATCCTTGAGGACCCCTTGTCTTACTTAGATTTCTGTTTAGAGATCTCACCCCACGTTTGGGGCACCATTTTCAGGTTCAGGTAACTTGGAGGTTGAGACCTCGGGCGGCAGGAGGCAGGAGCTTAGTTGATTGATGTTTATCTGCTTATGCTGATTATGCTTGGATTCTGGATTATGTTTGTTGCTATTATATGTTTAGCTTCATCTTATGGATTATTGTGTGGAGACTCTGTTGGCTATGTTTCCTTATTTGGTGAGCATGGTGTAACACCCCAAATGTAAATACTTATAGGGTGCACCTTCATCATGCATTCAACGCGCGGAAGTCTAAATTTAAACTTTACGAATGCAAATATCAGAGTGCGGAATGGAAACACATAACCATACTTATTCCATATAACATTAAAAGCGTTAAAACGTCAATACAAAATAAATAACACTAAACATTATTTAATGTAATCCCAAAAAGATTAACTAATCATAAATAAAAACATAATTTATGCCGCATCATAAGCCCAGTCATAATGTGGTTGTGGTTCCTCTAGCCATTGTGTACTTAGTGCTTCATCGAAATCATAATGTGGAAAAGCTTCTATTAATAATTTCATAGCCTCAGTCCATAGGCCTCTATCTGTTAGATCCTTTAATTTCTCTTCCCAGGTAGGTGGAGTTTCTTCTTCTTTACGTACCAGTCTCTTACCCTTTCTTTCCCACATAACTTTCTTATTACTTTCTTTCATCTTTTCCTGAAATGGGTGGTCAAGGGGGGTGAGATTTTGGGGAAAATCTCAGTAAGGTTCACAGCTGGAGCATTCTCCAACTATGACGCTTACTCCTGCAACAGTTTATAATAACAATACAAAATGGAACATTTAACATCATCATATAAAAATATCATGCCATCATCATCATCATCATATTCCTGCCGGCTTTTACGGACTTACGGAGATACCCAGAGTCCTCGTCAGGTTGCAACTGGAGTATCAGTGCACAGGCCAACATTTAATAGCATGGTTTTAAGTTTCAAAAATATCATAATCACATAATGTAAAGCACTATAAACATATTGCAGTCAGACCATAACTTATCATAGTTTCATAATGGTGGCATACATAGAGAGATTACTTCAACAACTGTAAACACTTACAGTGCTTGTCGTTCTTTACTTGTATACTTTCAACTTTTGATCTCTTTACTTGCCTGTTTGCTCCCTTGACTCCCTAACATCATCATATCATCTTTTAGTAACTTATATAACATTCAACATTTGTGTTTTATCCATGTATAGGTCTCGGCTTTGCAGGTTTAATTACCTAGAGGAGTTGTTTTGCTTACTTACCCACTTGTGTAGGTTTTAGGACATTATTAGGTCATCATAACACTTAATAGAATTATTAAAGATTTCATTCTAGGCATGTATAGGTTCGGCCACCATAGATAAACATCTAGGAATATAATTTTTAAAACATGCTTTCAATTATATTATTAACTTAACATGGTTAGATCCTTTCAACATTAATCAAATAAAACCTCTTTTAGCTACATACCATTCGGCCTTATTGCCCTAAAATACCTAAGGGATTACTTCTAAAACATGCTTCTAACATTATTGATAATTTATCATATTTAAATCCTAGCGCATCATTCAAAACATCATCTTATATATTCGGCCAACTAAGGTTATGATCATGCAAAATTGATTTAGAACCTAGGCTACTAAACATGCTAATCTAACATCATCATTTCATCATCTTTCATATCATTTAAACATCTCTTCATGCTTATAATTATCATACATGGTTCGGCCTTCTAGGGATAATATACTTAGGATATCACTTTCATGCTTTTACATGTCATTCCTAACCAAGAAGGTTCATAGGCTTTTACCTTTGATGATGATCAACGACTTAAGGAAACACTTCTTGACCTTTGACTACTTTGAATCTTCTTGAATGAACTTCCTTCCTCCTTGAACATACAAGGCCGCAAGCTTAAAGAGAGGAGAAGAGGGATTTTCTTGCTTAGAGATGAAGGGTTCTTTGGTGGAATTATTAGGAAGAAGGACTAAGATCCAGGCTTGTATTTGATCTTGGAACAATTAGGTATTTCTCACTAACACACTCACCATTTCGAAGCATTCATGGACTTCACAAAATGAACTAAACTCTTTGTTCTTTCCTTTGGTAGTGCCGCGGCTATAGAGGGAAAAAGGAGAGACTAAAGCTTGTTCAAATAGGCAACCTAGAAGCCTTGCCATTACTTGATTGCTGGTAGGTTTCGATCACATTAAATGAGAGTAAGGTGGTGATTTGTTGTCATAGGTTAGATTGCTTAATTTAGGGACAAGAACATGATGTCAATTTCCTTGATTAAGGAAATTTAGTGATTGCTTGATTTAAGGAATTGATGATGTGTGACTAATCGTCATTAAAAGTTGCTCCCTTGATTTAATAAACAGAATTATTTGATTGATTGACATATTGTCATCAATTTGCTTGATTTAGGGAAAGTGATTGACTACTAATCATCATAATCCTAACTTCCTTGTTTAAAGGAATTTGACTGGCTTAAGGAAATTCGATTTGCATTTAATGGCTTGAAAATCAAATAAAATCAAATTCATTTCCTACACCTAGGCCGCGGATTTTAAATGCTTGGAAGGAAAAGATTTCCTTTAATTTTGGACCATGATTTATTCCTTAAGATTATGGACCTTTAACCTATTAACCTGACCTAATTTGTGCCTATTTTTCCATGATTTTATGACACTTTAAATTGACTTCTTAGAGCTTGTTTTCTCTAGTAAAACCGTGGGCTTCTTGCTTGTAGGGAAAGAATTCTAATTTAATTCCTAGTCATATAGTACTTCTTTAGGTTTATTATGTCATGGCCTTACTTTGGGCTTTAACTTGATTTGGGTTTCATTTACCTTATTGGACTTTACTTTATCATATAGAGCTTTCTTTGTATCACTTGGACTTGTCCACATTAAATGGAATTAAAACTTCCTTTGTTGGGTTATACTTTGATCCATGAATTCATTGGATCCCTAATGCTTATGTCTTTGGTCCATTGGACCCATACTTCTAATTTACTTAATCATAAACTATTTCATCTTAAATGTCTCGTTTATTAATTATCATAATTCTTCATTAATCATGATACAATATTTAGGGTTGTTATACATGGGGATTGTCCATGCCACGTTGACTTGACTTTATGCTTTTAGATTCGAGTTGTAAAATTGTACCAGGATTATGTCCGGTCTACGTGTTGTAGTTCCGTGACTTAGATACTCACAGATATTTATGTATTGGGGTAATTCACTTAGCTGTCTATTTATA